CTGTCCGTTGGATTGGTTTGATGGGGTCAATCTTGTGGCAACTCATGTGGGAAACTAGAAACTACTTTAATATATAATTATGCATTGTGCTGTTTTGAAGTTGTGAATGTAACTTTTTATGTCACGTTTGGTTCGTTTTTTGGGTCTGATGCATCATGAAGTTCTGTTGAAAAGGTTGCATAATATGTGCTGTTTTTGTTCCTGTTCCTGTCAACTTCTCACATCTATATATATATATATATATATATATATGCGTGTGTGTGTATGTATGTATACCGTGATGAAGGGAGTCAAGTGACCTGCTTTTAAAGTTACAGCAAACAATGTAAACTCTAAGCAACTTGAACTCACACAACCTCTTCAAGGTATCAATAGGTGTTTTGCAAAACTTCCAGAATTTGAGATTCAAGTATGTCAGAGACAGCTAGAGCAAATAATAGATTATTGTAATATAACATTAAAGAATGCTCAAACTACAAGTTATTTGTTTTGGTACTTCTATTGGGAAAGAAAAGGAAAACACTTATAACTTTCTCTTGTTTAACACGCCAGGTTATACACATCCAGCAACATGATGCCTGTTTGAACAACTTTTTGCCACACTTCATGAACGTAGGAATAGTACAATCAACCCCTCACTTAATCCGTCCCCATATTGGAAGCCAAATGGTAGATTAGAATATCAAGGTTACAATTCCCAGATATCTATTCCATCCACTACTCTTGATTCATGCTATAGACCTCAGATTTCAAAAATCAAGAAAATTTTAAATGGAAAGAATAAGAAACCTCTCTTATAGCAGTAACCTCAGCATGGGCAGTTGGATCAGTGTTTCTTAAAACCATGTTATGACAGCTTACAACTATTTCATCTTTCCGAACAACAACAGCACCAAAAGGGCCTCCATCGCCACATTCAACTCCCTTATATGCTTCTTCAACTGCCTTTGTTAGGAACTTGTGGTCTCTATCCTGCACAGCTGGTATACCGAGAGAAAATAATGTTTAGAAAAAAAAAAGAACTGAAGGGAGCTGGGGAGTAGCAACAGAAATAGTTTCATACCTTCTTGATGACCAGGAAATGCAGAAGCAACAGAAATAGTTTCATCTTTGACTTCCAAAACTATAATAAAAAAGGCAGTATCAAACAGTCAGATCCTTCCATATAGAAGCAAAATCAACAAAGAGCGTTATTATACTAAAATCTTAATGTTCAATAAGAAAAATGGACTTTACAACCGACAGCTACTGAAGAAAAAGGCGAGGTAGAAAACTGATTTGGAAAAAAAAAAATACTCATTTGTTTAGATATTATTAAAGCACACATACAAGTGAGAAGCCCGTGACTACTCCTGAGTAGCTAATTCTGTGTATTCTTCAAAAATTACAAATTAACAACGAGACTTGGGTCAATTTTTTAGTAACACTTGAGCTTATACATACACCCCACCTCTTGTATTAACTGAATTGAACACGTTTGAAATTTGGATTAGAAAAATTGGATTGTGTTTTGCCTTTGAAATTGGTTAAGTCCTGTTCCTGGCTCATAGATTATAGAAAGCAGCTTCCTTGACTAATGTAAACACTTAATCTGGTTTTATGTTATCCCGAATGAAAGGAGGATCTGTTTTTGAATTACTAAGCATGATAAGGGAAACAGAGATAGAAGCAAAAGCTTATAATCATGAAGAATCTTACCATTGGCAGTGGCATTAGAAGCAGAAGTAGAGTCGTCCATGATGGTAAGGGGATCTGAGGAAGAGAAGAAGAAAAGGAGGGAAGGAAGAGAAGAGAAGACCCAGAGAAAGGAAAGGACTAAAAAGTTAGTTTTATCATCCCATCTGTTTTGGGAGTCACCCAACTAAAACCTTACACGCAATCCAAATTTGCTTCACTAGATCGATCCATTGCTCAACTCCATCACCATTTTACACTTCTTTCCTACTTTTTTCTTTTTTTTTTCATTTCCTTTTCTGTAAATTTAGTTTTTCTTACTATCTTCCATTTTTTTTCTTATAATTATTTTCTTTATATTACAAAACGATCAATTTGTTTTCTATTTATTACGGTTTTTACATACTTATGCAGGAAACAGACGAGCTAAATAAAAAAAAAAGTTAGTTTTAGTTTTTTTCATACAAATATTTAGAAATAGGAACGAAATTAAGAAAAACGTGATACATTTGTAATTCAATTTAAATAAAAAATGACACGGGAAATGAAAAACATAATGAATATACTGGCTGATAAAAAGAAAAACACACACGTTAATAACTATTCATACACTGACCAATCAGATAAATAATTATCTTTTATTTTTTTATTTTAAATTAAATTTTAAAATTATTAAAATATCTTAGATTTAAAATTGATCTTTTTAATAGAAACTTTTTTGTAATCTAAGATTTGGAACACTTTACTAAAATATACTAACTAAAAAAATCCTTTACATAAATTTACAAACCATATATATATATATATATATATATATATATA